CAAATTCTTGGCGGTTCCTTGGAGATGGGTCGAACCGCCCCAAGACCTTCCGGGAAAACCCACCAAAACACATTCCTTGAGGTGTCTGGCCTGGCCATCGGCCTGGCAAATCAAGGCCATCGGCCTGCAACGATCCAAAACACCGGGTTTTGGCTCATCTGATCTATGACAGGCGCGTGCCAGCTGCATGTGCCAAGCTTGCAACTTCAAGTCAGTCTTGACCAAAAAACATCCAGATCTTAAAACATACGTACTGATTCATCCAAGAACCACCCAGTTCAGGCGGTTATTGGATGGACATTGCATGGCCAGTAGGGATCCCAAAAAAGAAGAAACCGCGCCCGAGCTGGGTGGCGCTGCGCCAAGCGGTTGATCATACTGCACCGTCCCTCCTCCCACGGTTCGATCCATCCCAGTCTGGTCTTCTCGCCCAGTGGCCAGCAAGTGCACGGGGCCTAAGGGCTCTCCCAAAACCACTCGACCCAAAAGGGCGGCCACGACCTGCGGTGCGCTTCGCCGACCGCGACGAAACGCTGGGTCCAGACACGAGTTTCCGGTCCGAAGCGCCGGACCGAAACGGCCCGAAGTGTGGTGGTCCCGTGAAGTGTGTGGGGGGCAACATGGCAGTGAAGGGGGTACACTGCCGCCCTTGGGAATTGGTAGAGGAATTGCAAGGAGAGCACCGTCATAGGAGTTTGTAGTGGTGCGGTTCAGATTTGAGCGGCACTTGAAAGTGCTTAATACCAGGACCCTCCAAGGGGTGCCCTGTCTGGAAGCCTATAGGTAGTGTGGGGTAGTTCATTGGACACCCCGACAGGAGGGTCCTGGTATATAGTTGTTTTCCAACATCTTCCAAGATAATCCAAAATACCATGCTCCACGTCCATGCGATGTGACCGTCAGTGCCTGACTGTCATCCCCTGGCAGCACCTGGGTCTTCCTGGGCCCCTGCCATTGGTCCACCTCTTCTAAAAGCTCCAAAAGAATCACTCTCCAGGATCACCACATGGGTCGCTTTCCCCAAACGAACCGGATTCCCCCAGCGACATCCGTCCGGTGCACCGTGTTCACGCTGCCAAGCGCTCCCACGCTGCCCACGTGCGCTCCAGCCAGCACGGCGCACACGGCCAGCACGTTGCTGGCGCAGCCGAAGAGACCACGGAGAATCACCTGGGCTCAGCCGCCGCGAAGCTCAGCTTGCTGTAGAAGTACACTCTGACTCCATCCTACTGCATCCTTTAAGTCACTCAAATGGAAGTGGACACTACGGTACCATGTTATTGTAGAGGAACATCGTTGTTGCACGGGGCCATTTGCCACTTTCCATGTTAAGCAACGTTCGGAGTGTGTCTGATTTTCATTCAAGGAGTTCCCAAATCTGGTCATACCTCCATCTACAATTAGCCCCGGGGTCTGACCCCAAAAAGCGAGGTCTGTGGTTCTCGAAGTTTATACACACGTAAGCCTTGCAGCGCTTCTTGTCCACATCCAACGATGATCCAGCCGTGCGAGGTTCTTCACTGCATGACATGAATACACCAGTACAATGGGTCGCATCTGGTCAAGTTTCTCTGAAGGCATCCCACGCCCAGCGATCGCCAGTGGTAGAAACTGAAGAACCAGGACCATCCAAGGTGATAATTGGAGTTCAGAACTGCAGCTCCCAGGGTCGATGCAGTGATCACACAGGCGTCGGGGTGTTGGAGCACCCTTGCTTCTTGCTGAAATATGAAGAAGCTGGCGGATGCCAACGGAAGACCCTCAACCCCCCACGGAGGGACCACAGGGACCACAGAAGGTGACCTGAGTCCTGAGTCCTTGATACTCCCGGAGTCGTTTTCCCCGGAAAGTGATGTGAACCAAACATTCCACCCTGGCCTATCGACCTGTCTGAGCCAGCTAGGCGCCCATTTGATCTCGCGATACTCCAAGTGATAGCTCCCCTGCCAGAGCATCGACATCGCCAGGCTAAAGGCGATACAAAAGGCACTCAATCCTGAGCTGCTGGAGATTCAGCGCAGGAAACACGGGTGCTGCTGCACAGGGGTTTTTACATTGGCCAGGAAGATGGGATTTAGTGCATGAACAGGCGGAATGGCAAGGTGATTAAACATCCCTAGGACTCCAAGTACCTCCTCAGAAGGTATTTGGAGCCCTAGGGAATTGAAGTGTCTGATCTTGTTTTCCATGCGAGGATTGCGACATACCCAAGCCCAAGCATGGATCGGACACCCCCCATGTTTCCTCGAGTGCCGGACACCCCCTACGCACACGGAAGTGGACCACCGCCTATGAATGATGGGAATCATCTCTTTCAATAATTATGGTACATACCAGCACCACCCAGTTCGGGTGGTTTATAGACCCCCCTGAAGATGCATTTTCTATCCAATAACAATCCATTGCGTGGTGCTGCTAATCTAGTTATATATATATACTCCTCTATTAACATTGTATAATGAAATGCAATTGTGATTGTATTGATATTAATTCGCGTTCCCCCTAATTAATGAAGGTATCTATCCTGCTTCCCTGTTCGTGTGGAGAACGAGAGCGGTGGAGCCCAAAAAGGCCGCTCGTGCTCTGCTGGAAGCCAGCTGCCTGCTTCCAGTGCCCCTAAACTCATTGTATATTAATATCCCCCCAACTACCCCAACCTGGCAAAGAGCAGCGCTATGATCTGATTGTTTCGGAGTGTGTGTGTGAAACGGCAAGGACTGTGATAAAACCTATCGACGAGGAGCCAGCAAGGAAGAAGTAAGGCCACTGCCAGCCTGCCAAGCTGGGTACTCGTGGGAACAATGAACGTCCCTGTTTGAATGACTACTATTATGTTCAATTGATCGATGGTTACAGGCCTTAGTCACTTAGTCAAAACCTAAATCAGTAACTAATGCTTGCCTAAATTATGCGCACCTATACAGTTACAGCAAACCGAAACCTCAGTCACCAAAACCACAACCATAATAGAAAAAAGAAACACACGGAAACACAACCAACACAGCAAAAAGCAACGCAAACAACCACACTCACACACACAAACTCTGCGAGTTTGGGGCCGACTGGGGCCTGGGCACCAGGAGCCAATGATTTGAGGCCAATGACCATTCCATTCATTGTATTTTTTAGGGATCCAAGTACCTTCTCAGGTGATTGGAGACACTCTTATGTAGGTTTTGAGGGTCCAGTCGTACCGTACCTGAGGTTCGGTACGGCTGGAACCCTAGGGCAGTGTAAAACCCAACAGGTCGTGCACCCCGGGGGTCACCGGTACCAACGTCCCGGCCTCGAGAACTGGTCCCAACTCCCGGCGGTCGAAGAACGATCGCAAACCGAACGACCGCGGGCCTTGCATGAACTTACTCAACCTCAGGAAGCGGATTCGATTCTCCACCTTCTAAGGACATACCCAATTACGCGACTCATGGGACTGCCATAGGACTGCCGAGAAACGGCCAGGGGTGGTGGTTTGGGGGGTCAATGTAGCCATGTATGGCAGTCCCATGGAGCGTTTGGGTACTGAAATACTAGCAATTACCGATTCATGATGCAACATGCCAAGGACACGGAGGTCGACGATCAATTACGTCATGCATGACGCTTGATTCATGATGCCAAATGCTAAGGTATACCAAATAACTGTGTTGAAAGAGTTGTCAAGAACGGTGGAACGTCTACAAACACTTTGGCTGGCAAACTTCTACAGCTTGGACTCATATACTCTGATGCTGTGCTTTACTCGCTTTGTGCCAGTCAAACCACCAAATCTGCGAGGCTTTTGTGACATGCCAACTACTGATTCGCAGGTGCACTGCTGACCCTGGTGTGCTGATGCGTCCCGTTCCATTCGCTCTCGCCCAGGGACACCAGGTTCACGTTGCTGAAAAGAGCACACCTCAGCGGGGAAAAAGCAAAACGTTGAGCAATTGAGATTGGAGGATGCTTCAGGCTTGAGGCAACATGTTGATTTGACTGCTTGGGTTTCGAAAGAAATCATGTCTGATCAGCTTCTCTGCCATCTGCCTACCGTGAATGAGTTCAAGCCAATGTCCGAACTGTCACCTTTTTAAGACAATGAGTCACAAAGGTCAAAGAAAAGAACAAAAAGGCAAACATCAGTCATAACTTCAGTCATGTCAGGTCCCTCTGGTGATCCAAATATGCAAGCGCAGTCGCAAAAAAATGTTGCTCATGCTCCTCAACATCTCTTAGCCCCCAATTGCCACGCTTTTGTCCTTTTGAGCTTCGAAGAGAAGAAAAAAAACCAAAGCACTTCCGCCAGGAGGCCCCAAGCCGGCCACCACACCTTGCACCTCCGGCAGCGCCCTCATCGTCGCTGAAGCTCGGCTTGGCTGCTTTTTTCGATGGAATTGAGCTTTCGAAAGCTGCGGGAAGGTGCCGAGACGGTCGCCGTGGAGCTTGGGACGGTCGCAGCGGGCCAATCGACGGAATCTGCTAATCGGGTGAAGGTTCTGAAGCCCATGGAAAGAGGCTCCGAAGAGGTCCGAAGCTCGGATTTGCAGGGTCAAGAACCTCCAAAGAGCTACAGTAAGTTCAGCATGATGATAGTTATAGTTTGGGTCAAACACATGTGTTTACGCTCACTGCAAGAATCATGGAAGTGGACCATGGCCCCCGAAAACAAGCTTCCTCTACATACAGGGGGGTTGTCCACTTCCGTGTTTGGGAGGCGCACCATCCTTTTTGGGGGCGGACTCACTGCCAAAGAGAGCACCCCTTCCACGGGTCACTAGGGCCTCTGTCCGCATGGTGATGACTCTGAAGATCCTCTCTTCAACAGCTTCGCTTTGATGGACTCTGACTTCAAAGGCAACCTCTTCCCAGCACCAGTGGGAGTTCAGGTGGTTTGTAACCGAGATCGCCCGAACTGTTCCAAGAGAGGTTGCATAGCCCTATAGCCCATCCCATATGTACCAGCACAGGGTCCTAGTTCAGGTCTCTCCGAACTCCGTGATGGTCGTGGAATTGAAGGTCCTCTCCTCATATAGGCGCTTCAGCATGGGGCTGCACTCCACCAGCTCAGCTGGCCAGTCTTGCTGCAGCGGATGCAGCTGCGGCGGGGCAGGTAGCGCATGGATGTAAGGCGCGAAGAGGGACTGGTGCGATGAGGAAGGCCAACGAGTCGATCTCCGGACTGTATTGACTCCCTCAGTTGTCCTTGATGAACCAATTCCCCAAAAAGGGTTAAAGGCTTATCCCCTCATTGCGTAGGTGTACTGCGCATGCTTTTGGGGGGGGCACTGCGAGTGCTTCACTGGAGAGCTTGGGATCCAAAGGCTGGGTGAAGGTGGACTGGTGGGTGAAGTGTTACCATTCTCCGCACATGAACGGATGTCAACCCAACTACTGATTGTAGTGAGGGGGAACGGGTAAGAACGCAGTAAGTAACCGGCAAAGAGGAAGAACGCCTACGCCAAAATTTACCATAGAACTTATTATAACGACGGCCCGGAACTTAGAAGGTAGCATTTTCGGCACTTCAAAACAGTAGATAAATTTAGAAGGGGGGGTCCCCCTGCGCACCTTCTAAGTTTACGGGCTGTTTTGAATTACCATGCATATACCGCTATATGGCACCTTCAACCTAGAAGAGATGGCCTTCAATCTACTAGCCATGGCCTTCAACCTAGAAGCAATGGCCTCCAATCTACAAGCGGTGGCCTCCAACCTAGAAGAGATGGCCTCCAACCTAGAAGGAAAGGCCTCCAACCTAGAAGAGATGGCCTGCAATCTACTAGCGATGGCCTCCAACCTAAAAGGAATGGCCTAAAGGAAGGCCGCGCCGCCGCCTCTTTTTCCCCTGTCTGTCCCTGTCTGTCTTTCGATGGGTTTTCTTCATGCAATCGAATTCCAGAGAAGAAAAGACATCAAATCTATCGTGCAGAGTTCTGCATTTGTGCAGTGACTGTACTTATGGGAATGCCATGGAGTCTTCCAAGTGGTTTGTCAAAACCTGCAGTGACAAAGGTTTAATAGGCATTCTAAGTTCTGAAGTTTCCCAACAGATATTGTATGTATTGTGTGCATGCCCTGAAAATATAAAGATCGTGTTTTGACAAACGTCTTGGACTTGCAAACTCAGAAACAAGCAGATGGACGGTAGCCCACAAGCGTCCTTCATCATCTGCTGTGTATTGTCCCCGCTCCATCAAGAGCACGCTACACATGAAGTAAGCCTTCTCCATCTGCGCCAAGATATGAATGTGTGTGATTGTGTGTATATATATATGTTAGAACCTTTTGTCAAACACATTCTAAGTTAGAGAATGGATGAGGCAGAAACATCGAAACAAATAGATGTTTAAAATGAAATTCGATCGTCTTTCCCAACTCAGCTCGAAGATGAATCCTGCGGAGAGCTCAATGCAGCAGTCACGCGGCTCAGCTGCATCTGCCACATCTGCTGCTTTGGGAACTCCTCTGTGTAGCAGCGGAGAACAGCATCCATCATCAGCAAAATGGCTTCTCGCTCCGTTCCTGAGCCGGGCTGTGAATAGATATAATATAAGGACGGCGCGAAACTTAGAAGGTGTGAAAATTGGCGCTTCAAAACAACAGATAAACTTAAATAATGTAAATGTGTATGTATATATATTAATATATATATATGTGTGTGTATGTATGTAAGTATGTATATCTACATGTGTATCTATATTATATGTGTATATATATATATGTTAGAACCTTTTGTCAAACACATTCTAAGTTAGAGAATGGATGAGGCAGAAACATCGAAACAAATAGATGTTTAAAATGAACTTCGATCGTCTTTCCCAACTCAGCTCGAAGATGAATCCTGCGGAGAGCTCAATGCAGCAGTCACGCGGCTCAGCTGCATCTGCCACATCTGCTGCTTTGGGAACTCCTCTGTGTAGCAGCGGAGAACAGCATCCATCATCAGCAAAATGGCTTCTCGCTCCGTTCCTGAGCCGGGCTGTGAATAGATATATTATAAGGACGGCGCGAAACTTAGAAGGTGTGAAAATTGGCGCTTCAAAACAACAGATAAACTTAATATATATATATATATATTTGTTTGTGTGTGTATATGTATGCATATATATCTACATGTGTATCTATATTATATGTGCTTGATCGCTGTTAGCTTGTGATTGTATATGCCACCCTGCCGTATGCTCTCCCAAACAACTTAGAATGCCCTTCCCAACAAGGATGAGGCTCGGCCCGTAGTGCCTTCAAATGAAAAAGACATCTGAAGCGTAGAGCCAGGGTAAAAACCCTGCCAAGACCTCGTGGTCTTGTGGAAGGATATGAAAACGCCATCTTTGTGAGAAGGAACCATCGTAAGCCCCTCCTTTTCGAGAACAACAAACGCTGGGCGGTGGCTAAACGATTTCACTTTCGTTGCGCCAGTTGGCACAATCTCCTGGATCGCCTCCTCATCAGAGGAATTGGCCCAAATCTGCAGCTCGTCCCCTGAATTCTCAGCGTCTCCCGTCATCAAGATGTGCTCTTCCTGCTGCTGGTCGAAGTTCACCTCCTGATCTGCCTCCTCCACACCTGCCTCAGCATCAATGGCCGGAGCAGCCAACTCTTCAGCGATGTTGTTTGCCACACCATTCAAGCAACCCGGAACATCACAATCCACTCCTTCTCCCCTCAACAGGACAAGGTCACGCTCTTCTCCGTTTGCGCATTTCACCTTCACTTGAGCCAAATCATCCTGCACGGCAATCTCCAATGAAAACATGCGATCCTTCAGCTTGTCAATGTCGGCATTGGACCGCAACTTTGAAATCACAGTGTGGTCAATTTTGTCGTACAGAATGTGCTTTCTTCTGGCAAGTGTCATCCAAGAGGTAAACTTCTCCTGCTGTTGCTGCGTGAGCTCCTTCCCTTGCAAAGCACGGCTGTGCCTAGTTTTCTCCCACTTCCTGGCTTCATTGGAGAAGTAGCTGATATACTGTTCAATGGGGCTCGCAACCCATTCAGGCAGCACCTGTCTTGTGGCAGCGTCCCCATCAACTTCCAATGCCCAAAGCAACCCCGTCTCTCCTTCAAGCGGCTCCTCCCTCATTGTTCTAGCCTTCTCAACAACAGCCACAGAACTGCTTGTAGCTGGTACGGCCGTCAGTCTGAGGAGACTTCCCATGCTTCCTCTCTTGCGCTCGCTCGCTGCAATCACCACTTTCTTGACGTTTCCTGGACTGTGGGAGATGGAAATGCAGCAAAAAATAACAAAGGCATTCTAAGTTCAAAACATCTTTAATAGGCAAACAACGTTTTGCTTGGAGTTTCAACTGACAGCACCGTCCCCACCTCCAAACTTTCTGGCGGCCACAATCTCCTTGCTCACCATCCCGCGGGTCAACCAAGCTGTCCATACAAGGCGTCCGTCCCTGAACGGATTTGGAGGTAAATAGGAGTGCACTAGCGTTAACATCATAAACATACTCTCAGCACAGTCATTCTAAGTTAGGCAGGACAGGGTAGTATTGAACAAAATAAAACTCACAAAACACACACACAGATATATATATATATATAACAAAATAAGTCTGTTTTAGAAAAACGGCGCATATGCAACTGCCAAGGTAAAAGTAGGCAATTGACACTTGAATGCCAGATTGAGTTGAGAAGCTCAAAGGAATTCAAAGCTCTCAGCGCATATGCGTCTGCACGGATCGAGTCAGACATGCTGTACCTGCAAGGGCGCCAAGACCAACAAACTGCTTCAGAATCTCAAAAACGTCAAGAAAACATTTCAAATCATGTAGGTGTGAAAGGTATCTCATCAACACCCAATGCAACCAGAGCACCGAACCGAAGCACTCCCTTGAACAGATTGGTGTACATCTGCAAGGCTGGCACGAAGGTCAAAGTCAGAGGTCCAGCAAACTTTGGTCAAGCTGTAAGCACGGGTGAGGCAATGGATATACTGATGGAAGCCATCATTTGGGGCGCCACATGCACCCCAGCCCCCCGGGATTCGTAGTGATACGGAATCCCCGGTGACCAGTTCCTCAATATCTCGAGGACATTCTATGTTAATGTGTAAAACTTGGAAGGCGCCCAAAAATAGACACCAAACAAAGGCCCAACAACCCTTCTTTATTGAAAAAATGACAAGACCTGGCAATCAAGATGCAACGTTGTGAGTCTTGCACCACTCGGTCTTCATGCTTGAGAAGGCCTTCATTGAGTGCTGCGATGCGCAATCAGCAAGAACCAGGCAGCGGTCCTTCAGCGTCAGATTGAGAAGACGCCGTCGCTGGCGTATCTCGCCAGCCAAAAACTCCAGAAACTCGCACATCGTGGCACAAGACCAAAAATGCGTGCCCTGCTTCAAACGTCCAATATAGACCCAATCCTCCAGTTCCTGCATCCAGAAAGACAGGCTGATATTTTTTGTGATCAAGGGTGACGTTCATTTATGTAAGTTCTAAAGTGGTGGGCATTCTAAGTTGGCTTCGTTACACAACATCACAGGGTTGAGCCTGCCAATGCGTCATACACACGTCACACGCTATGATAGCCCTGCCTTGTTCAAAGACTCTCTTTGCATCGGTGATAGGTATTCCTCTGCACATGTCACGAACCCCCTGGCGAGGGTCCCGTCGTTCCATGAAACCGTCGTGAGAGTGTGTGGAACACGCCAGCTGTCAATGGCTACGGATGAGCTGCATCCGCCCTGGCGTCTACTGGTTTTCGTGAAACTCAAAGCATCGGAATCACCACCAGTCGATACATTGATCATTCTGAGAAAATCTGTTTCCATCACCTGTTTGGCGCTCTTGGAGTCTTGGCTGTGACGTCTTTCCTGCAATGTCCTGGTCCGTGGCCTGAACGTGGTGCACCAGACCTGGTCAAAGTTGAGGACCAAGTCCTTTGCGATTGCACCAGTCTCAATCATCCAAGCAACTCCATCGCGAACACGGGCCATGGCCATGTGATCGTATGGCAAATGTTTGCCTGGCTTCGTGTTGGCTGTCAACACGATAGAGCTTCTGTTGCAAAGGCGTCTTACCTGGTGCCTGGCCAGGTTTTCCATGCAAACTTAGAATGCCATTTCCCAAAGGTATCATACTCTTAGAATGCCACTGTCCAAACTTAGAATGGCCACTAAGAACAGACTCT